TGCCATGAAAAATTTAAATTAAATTTATAAGTGCTTTAGGAAACAATTTACATTGTGCATAAAAAAGTGTATATCTATATATATTTACAATGTACTCTAGCTGATTTGTTCTGAATATAAGAGTTATGGAACATAACTTGGGACCAGAGTTCTGAACTGGTCCAGAGAGGCCGCTGCCACCACTGAGTGTGGGAGAGTATTCCAAAGAATCACTGTGTGGGGAAAGAAACTAAATATGATGGTTTATACAGGTACTTGGGCACAAAAACTAGACAGGGAGCCTGGGGCCGTCTTGAAGCCTCAGTTAGTCTAGGGTGAAATCCTATTGGCGGATATTATGTATTCTCTAACGTTAGAGGACTTAACCCATAAATTTCTTACGGGTGGGGTGGGGTGGGGTGGGGGGGTGAAGTTGTAAGGAAGCGAAACGACCCAGTAGTCAAAACAAACACACCAAAGACCAAGATATCTAACATAAACTTCCGGTGCATTGACAGACACGTGCAGTACTTGAAAACAAAACCAGGTAATGTTAAAGAAAGACGAGACGTTCCTTAATAAAAGATAAAATTTTCCAAGATTTTGTCATGGAAGTATTGCTACTTATGCATGTTTACTCACAAAAATTAGAGGTACCTTACCAGGCATTTCTGCAAGATACCAGGTGTAGTTTTTCTTCGGTCCTACTAAACCGCTAGTACGCTAGTACGATAGAGTACTTTAGAGTACGCTAGTAATATTTAATAATTTAATGCAATTAAACTACTTTTTGTATGCTTTTCTACTTTAGTTTAACATATTGAATATATATTTAAAATATAAAATTTTTGTTTTCTGTATTTTAGGGGTTATTTGAATGTATGATTTCAGGTTACGGTTGATCGTTTGATCCCAATCTAATTTAACTTAAACATGTTAAAATGTCTCATTGTGAATGTGAAAAATATTAACACATGCAATTAATGTAATATTTGATAAAATTTAGATAATATGTTTTACGGTGTGACCGTTGCGGCGAGTACAGTTTATTTCATCATAAACCTACACATGTACTGTCTATCATTCAAGAAAAAGAAAGCAAAAAGAATAAAACGAAACAATAAAAAGAAATCATTTCCCAAGCATCGGGATCGAGATTCCAAACTTCTTCGGAAGTTTCCGACAAATCGGAAACACCCGAACCTTTGAAGTGACGAAAGTATGACGTCAGATACAAAGTTCTGCTGACTTAGGACGCAAACGCTAGTTTTATGGAAAAGAGATTGCATTAAATCGTTCTTTTTAAGTAAGTTGTTGCTATGTTTTAGCCACCATGTTGCTATGCACCGCAACATGTTTTCCGAGTTTCACGGAAGCAACCGACATAACTTCGTCAAAATTCGTAAGTTTCCGGTGACGTCATTTGTATCATTTCCGAAGGGCAAGGTGAAGGCCAGTGTTGTGGCATGGGGGTATTTTTTTGAATAAGGTAAGGCAAAATCATTTCGTTAAGATTTCGGTAAGAAACAATGTTCCTTTAATTTTTTTACTATTTTTGATTTATTCGCGCAAAGGACATTGGGTAGTGCAGGAATTCTGGGAATGTTGCACAGAGAAATTTGGCTGACGTATGTACAGATTTTAATCCCAATTTCCTCTGTTCATACACGTAAGTCTATTGAGCTCGCTTCGCGAGCGTCGCTTCGCGACGCTCGCTATAAGTCTTTTTAGTAGAAAATTGTGAAACAAAATAGTGAACGAGATTGGGGTATTAGCTATAGTTATACCGTAATCTTTAATGCGTTTAATTTTGGATGTTATTTTTTGTCAAAATGTCGCTAAAAACAATTATTTGAAAATAAGTTTATAATAATGTTTAATCAAGTTGTACATACATAAATAAAAAATTTAATTGCATTAAATAACATAATTTTTCTAGCGTCTCTAAAGTACTATTATCGTACTCTAGCGTACTCTGTTTAGTAGTACCCGTTTTTCTTATATAATCCTTTTGGGAGGAAAAATATTTTTCCAATTTCAAATGTTTAAGTGTTGTATTTTTAAAAGACGTTTAGAAACTGGTTTAGAAATAAGAATCTAATTAAAATATTGAATATTTTCCATACATTACGAAGATATACCAAACAGATTTTGAGGAACGTAATGTCTGACCTTAAGGGCGAATTTATTGATCAAAAACTAGTTTTAGTTTAGGTTTATGGTTTGAAAATAGTTTTAATTAATTTTGAAAATGGTTTTATGTTTTAATGGTTTAGCACTAAATGGAAAGTTTCATTTAAAACACACACAAAAACATCAAATATGGATGACATAGAACTGACTACTAGATTTTTTCTCATAATCTGAAGAAGATATTTCTACAACTTATCTTCATTTACACGAGAGTGTAATTGTAATACCCATGCTGAGTTCTACCCTTCTTTAAAAAAAAGGGGTGACAAAGGATGGCTTGTGTCACTATTATGTTGAGACAATATTACCCTTGTATAGAATGGATGATTTCCGTGACAGATTTAGAATGAACAGACATACCCTTGAGTCCATAATTGCCATGTTAGCTCCATCTTTGATATATGCATGATGATCATAACTTCAACTAACAAGAATGAATCTACTTTTATCATAGACATAAATAACATTTATTTATGTCTGTGCTTTTATTAATTTACTTTAGTTTTTGTCCTTATGTTTGTAACATATGGTAACATTTTTTACAATTGAAGTGAAACAACAATTACTGTATACTTTTTACACAGCATATGTGCCCTGAAAACTAGTCGATTCTGTCATATTGCTGCCCACATTGGTCGCATTGCAACACCAAAAATTCTGCATTCGCCATGTTGAAAGGAATTAAAACCGTCAAAACCGCACCCGGGGGTGGTTTAAAGTTTTCAGGAAACTAGTTTTAGTTTAAAGTCGATAAACGAAAAAACTAGTTCTGGTTTGAAACTAGTTCGTTACAGGTTTTGCAAATAAATAGAAAGTTTGGAAAACCGAACTGAAACCTAAACTGGTATATAGAGTATTTCAGGGACCTATTACGTTCCTGGGTATTTTAAAGATTTTTTAATTTTTTTTTATTTGAAAGGGCCAAAAAGTTTTGAATTGGTGATCTACATTTAAGTTCTTGATAAAGATCATAGGCACTCCCCATCTTAATTGTTAAAAAAATATATCTCTACTATACTATAAGTTTTCCACTATACTATAAGCAAAACTTATAGTATAGTAGAAATATTTTTTTAACAATTAAGATGGAAAACTTATACATGTAGTATAGATATATTTTTTTTAACAATTAAGATGGGGAGTGTCTATGATAAAGATGGGTACTTTAATTTTTTATTGTATAGTAGTAAACTAATACGCTGAATGAAACAAGCACCTGTAAGTCTGGTCATGAGTTTCTGACTGTGTTATTCTGTTATTGAACCCTGTTATCTTTATTTTCTTTAGACATGGCTAAGAGCATCAGAAGCAAGCGGAAACGGATGTTGAGAAACATCAAGAGAGAGAGGTATGCCAAAAAGGAACTGGAGAAGTTGAAGGAAATCGTGGCATTAGCTGAAAAAGATAAAGATACGGAAATGAAAGACCTGTATACAGGTAAGGTTTTATCAGGGAGAAGGCCACACATTTTATCTAACAATGTTCTTGTGAATACAACCGAAAAATTGAAACTTAATTTATTTTCGCTTTAATATATCATCATTAAAAAGTGGGTTCTAAACTATTGAAAGTTATGTCCCTTTATTCTCACTTTCAGTGACAAAACCCCTGGGAAGCAAAGACGACGCAGCAGCTGAACCCTCAGGTAAGCTTCTATTCCAATTAACAGTTATCTCATAATGATGCCTTTAATTTCTAAATCAGTGTCTGGTTATTACATATTTTTGCTTTTTTTTTCTCGTTTCATCTTAACTGACAAGTTTTGGCTAATTTTCTTTTTCTTTAAGTTTTATTTAAAAATCATGTGGTGAATCTTAAATTGTCCCAACTTATTCTTTTGTTTTACCTGTTAAAAGCTGTTTCTTAATTTACTTCATGAGGAATTAGAACTTTAGTACCAGGACATGTTGGATAGAAAGTGAAGTGATGTCCTTAAGGATACACCAAAGGTTTCCAAAGGGCAAAATTTATTTTGCTTGTAATTCTTTCATTAATAAAGATAACATATTAAAAGTATACATCATTTGAAAGCTTGTTAAATTTACTATTTAATGATCGTAATTTAAATTTTCATTTTTATCTTATTTAAAAGTTATTAATATTTTAAGGTAAATATTAGTGCGTTTATATTTTATAAATCAACTTTTTTGTATGCCACCTCTCAAAGTCAAAATTTTGCCTCAATGTAGATTAAAGATTGAACTTTAAAACCGTATCTCAGATTTTTGATAAATCTTCTTATTCAAAAGTTACATCCATTTGTCTTTCAATGTTACCAATTTATTAGCCCAATTCTACATTTCCCCCAATAATTCAAGAACTGAACAAGATATCAAAAATCTGAGATACGGTTTTGTGAACACACATTTGAGACGCATTCTGGTCAGTTTTCAGAGAAATTGGTCAATAAACAAGGGAGCTGAATCCTTTGAAATAACACCACCAACTGTCTGATCTTACTTTACAGTAGAGGGCAAAAACCCATTACACAACAGAGTCTGCCAAAGCTAGAAATATATGACACCTTGGAGATTCAGCTTAGGATACCTGTCACTTATCCATATTTCCTATGCATATTCACAAGAATGGGAGGTTCTATTCTTTATTTAGGTGCTTTTAATGAAGTAAAATAGGTTCAATTCTGAATCAAAAAGATTTCCCGGCAAAATGGCAAGAGCTAAGCTACACCTCCTATTTCATGGTCATTAGTGACCTGTTAGATCTCCTTCCCTAAATCTAGAGTCCCTGTAGTTTAATTATTGATAGCCTCTGTGTGGCTAGTGAAGAATTCCCCAAGTGGTCACAGTGATTTATTGCTCCTTTCAGAAGCAGGCAGTTACAGACCAAATCAGAAGCTTCAATAACGGCACATTCACATGTGTTAGTGTTTATGTTTGATTATTGTTAAATAATTAGAAAACCATTCAATAATCAGCCAGAATTTTTCATGCATTATAAAGCAGTGATTAGCATTGTTTTTTATAGCCAAAAATCTCAAAATTGACAAAAATCTTGAAAAAAGCCTTTGGTGTATCCTTAATATATTAACCTTTAGTTATATTAACTTGTCGCTATTTATGAACTTTTTGTAGGTGATGGTATGGAAGTGGACTCTAAAGCTAGAGATTCCAAAACTCTGCGTGATGAGAACGGACATTATCCAGTGTGGATGAATTCACGACGCGTCAAAAAACACAAGAAAAGACTGCAGGCCATCTCCAAGAAAAAAGAAAAGAAGCAGAAGGCCAAAAAGAAGTGAAGATCCTAACAAGATTGTATATTGTGTTTGTAAATAGGGACAGAATTCTTTGAGTGAATGTAATTGAATGTATTTTTTTAGTGGCAATTATTACCGGTACATTGTAATATTTTTTCTTCAAAAATTGATTTTTTTAACCTATTTCACTGGGAAGAGGGGGCAATTTGAGGAGTGATGTAGGACTTGGACTCTCTTAGCTAAGGTGTGGGCAATTTGAGGGTGATGTGGTGGGACTTTGACAATAAAATGCTTCCCTTGGTTGTAAAGCATTGGAATTAATATTGCAAGTGTTGGAAAATACACAACCCACCAAATTGTCTGCAGTATAACTGTGATTCTGGTGAATTCCTATACTTACAAAGAAAGAATTTCATCATTAATTGTGTATTTATGTCCATGTAGAAAACCATATAAAGTACATTCATATATGTAAGTGTGTTAGATATTGGATTATTGAAGATATGTACTTTGTCATTTGTGTACTGATTGAAAGCTCATCACTAAAGAAATCGACACAGGTAGCTTGAAAAACTGCTTACTATAGATTAAGCATTTACAGTTTGATAAATGACTTGTAAATATTTTCTTCAGAAATAAAGATAATATCTGGTAGATGTAAATATTTCTGTGTTATCATTGAATGATTTCTTTATATACTGTAAATCTATGATATTTGGTGTGTACAATATTTGGCAGAAATTATTTTTTCAACAAGTTAGCATAAATTTGATTTAGCATTATCTGAATGTGCTAGATAATATTGTATGATATATACAAAACGTGTAGCTGTAACAAAAAGGATTCTGTTTTCCGTCGTAATTTGCTATTAGAATACACTGCTAAATGTAATAAGTTTACTGTATATAACAAGCAAATTCAAAGAATGTCTTTATGGTGAAATGTCATTTTTTATGGCATATTGTGTCATATATGTACTCCTTATCATATGTCACTGAAAATTTATCGTCAAAGTCGATTTTTTGAAATTTAGTCATACAAGAAGATCAAGGTCAAAGGGTCAGAAATCATAGCTTGCTCGGAAATATATTGTCACAGGTAATACACATCAAATTTGAAAGCCTTATCTTTTCTCTATCAAAAGTTTAATGGAAAAGTTAAACATAAAATTTTTGAAAAGTAGGTCAAACTCCAAGGTCAAGGTGCAGGGGTAAAAAATCATAGTGCATTTACCGGTAGAAAGTTCTTGTCACAAGTGATTTACATTTGAAAGTTGAAGGCCCTATATCCTCTCAACCAAAAGTTTTTATGACCAAGGTTAAAGTTTTTGAAAAGTATGTCAAACTTCATTTCACTTTCATGAAAGTGGTGGTCAAATATTGGAATATTATATCCCTGCACACTGGTATTACTGTAACAGTGATGTACTGTGAAGATCATATGGCATTTTAAAGCTGAACACGACTCGTAAATAGGCATACGCCATTTTCGATAGCATTTTGTACGATACATCAATACTAGGGTATACTTGTCGCATTCGTTACACCTGACTGCTTTATTGTCACGGGTATCTGCGTGAAATGCCGACCCGTGTTCGTGCTGGTTATCTTGCATTACCTTTGTTTATATTTTATTGCAGTCACGTTCATCTGTGTTGTTTGTATACTGCACTAACTTATAATTGTAAGTTTATTCGGTATCTTATTTTCCTGCATTAGACGAAGCATTACGTTATTATTCTCGCTACTGTGTTTTGTATAGCATGTGTCCGTCTTCACCGGTGTCGACTGATTACACTGAATAGTGACTAAGTTCTGCCATATTTATAGGGGTCTGCAGAGTAGGGAGACTCGGAAACATAAATGGCGGACAGATTCCTTTTACAAATCGTGTTCAGCTTTAAATAAAATGACACCTTAAGCTTTTCTTGGAAATTTTCACCCCCTTTTAATTTTCACCCCTTTCTGATTCGCCCTACCCTAATTTGGGTGAATTCAAAACGGAGAGAAAGCTAAAGTATAATTTCATGAATAAAACTATGACATGATGAAATTGAAATGGGGCAAAATTGTCTGCAAGTGAGAAAGGGGGGAAATTAAATGGTGCAAAAA